AGTAATCTTTTTCTGTGGGACACTTATGGTTTTCTATTATTTTACGCTGACAAGTTTTTCATTTCCTTAGTTTATCCCAAATCTTAGTTTTGGCGTTGATTTTAGTGTCAGTAGAAAATAAGAGAAGTTTCTGTGACAGCTGCAGTGAAGAATGAATATGGCGGCAGTTAAAATGAGAATCAGCTTTGCAGAATACATTGAGAATCTTCAGTTTGATGATAAAAATAACTTTGTAGAAATTTTGGCAGTCAAATTACTGTCCAATTTTTTGTCGGAGTTATGTAACGAATTATGGAAGGATTTAAAAAAAAAATAAACTGCACATTATTAGTTTAGAAAAAAAAATTTTGCCTGAAAATCGGGTATTAATTGAGAAGGTCGCGTGCCCGTTATTGGTAGTGGTATATATTTTCATGTGCGATCAGTAGGCCTTCGAAGATTAATAAAGATGTGCTTTGGTCTAAGAGATTAAGATTTTTCAGGGGGTTACTATTTTGAACTTTAGAGAACATTTTATTATACTTTTTTATAAATTTTCTGGTGTTCAGAGCTTTCATTCTATTTACTTTTCTTTTTACGCCGGTATAATTGTACATTTCTCCAAATCTATTTTTAATATCATCGTCATCGATATCGTGATCATGATCATGATTATTACCTTTATATTATTTAGTGGATCTACGGGATTGTTTTCTGTCTCACTGGCATTTTTTAGGTTATATCAACAAAAACATTATTTTGATAATTATAACGAAAATTTGAAAGAATAAGTAGACAAAAACAACAACAGTAAAAAAAAAGACTGGAGTTCAATTTTTTAACTATTTTAGTTGGATATTTAGTGTCAAAAGAAATTTGGAATTTGATAGAGATTACTATTAAAACCTTACACTGTTGATTATTGCTAAGCGGTGATAAAAATGTTTTAATGGTTTTTTTTAGAGAGGTTCTATGATTATCAGACTTTTTACGGTATAAATGAATGAAGCTCAGTGGGAACTTTTTTTGTAGTTTTAAGCAGTAAAACTGGCAAAAATTTTTCTTCTCAGTTTTGCTGATGTATGCCACCAATAGCACTTTTAATTGATTTCTAATTTTAGGCAAATCGGAACGCAAAACGGGTATTTGCGGAAACTCAAGCCGCACCGTCGAAGGATACCCAAATGCAGACGTTGTCTTATAATCCATACGCTTATTGGCCATATTATGGTCGAGGCTGAATAGCCTTCCCATCTAAAAAAGCGCTCTTTGCCTCTACCATTGCTCAAGTGCCTTCAAATCAGAATTCTTTGTGTGAAAACAAAAAAGCAAAAGAAAAATGAAGACTTTATTCAACAGTATTACTAGTACTACAGTTTTTGGATACTTAAACGCTAACATGGGAGAAAAAGGGTTGTGTTTTTTTTTCTTGCATTTTAGATTACTATATTTCTGGCTTTTTACTTTTTTTGGTAAGACTTTTCTTTTTTTTATTGCTTTGTTTTCACCTCTTTCAGTTTTTTATGTAATTCAGCTATACTGCTGATGAAAACAAAGAACAAGGTGGGAAGGAAAAAAAGATATATATATAACAGAGAAAGCAATTGTAATCCATAGTTTCCTGTTCTAAATTGATGGTCCGAATAGAACTGTCCTCTAGAAATAATTAATAATCAGGCCGAAAAAACATTTGAGAACCAAACAAAAAATGAAAAAGCCAAGAAGATAAACGAAAAATTTTTCAGTTGTTTGATTTATCACTAATCTTAACAAATTTTTATTTTGTGGTATCAATACATTTTTTTCTCTCTGTTGTGGCTTTTTTCTTCCTCTCTACTCTTTTTTGGATGCAGCACTACAACAAGTTTACAGATTACCGCCGTCATTACAGTCATCATTTAATAATTATCCAGAAATGTCTGAATATTTATCGAAGATACAGACAAAAAATTATTACCAATATTATTATCTTGATCATTGTGGTTATTTACTTCATTTTTTATTTAAGAGTGAAAGATAGAAGAAATAGAGTGGGAAGAAAACAGTAATTTGCCATTTCCTGCCAAATCATGTTGCAACAGTGATTTTTATATGTGGATTTACACTGCCTCCGTTTTTTCTACTCTCCTTCTAGTTATTCTAGCAGTTGCTGTATTTCAAGAGAACTTATATTCAGAGAATGTTTAAGAAAAATTTTGTTTCAAAAATTTCTTGTAAAATGCTGATTATAAAGTACATACTACAAGAACTTTGTTGAACTGCAGTATACAATCTCTCATATACCATCGTCCAACGAATATTCTCGTTGTCTAACCTGAAGAAGTGCTAGACGTTTCTTTTTCTGCCTTCGTTTTTTTTTTTAGTGTCTGAAACAACATGCTGTTTTGGTGGTAATTCATGAGCAGATTCAAAAAAGATTTAAATGAAAAGAGGCTGATCGTACGCGAACCAAAGAGGAAAGTAACTGAGACTGAAAAAAAGCCGATACAATGGCTGATCTATCATTGACTGACACCTTCTTATTCCCAATCCCTGTGAAGATTCAGCGGTAATTATCTGAATTGTAAACAGCTGATGATAATCAAAGTTGGTCGAACGCATCTGGTAGAGGTGCATCAAGTCGACAACTCAGAAGAAAATGGGTAGGGGGGTGATGTAACCGAGTTGCGGTGAAATTGAGGGAAGAAATGTGCCTAAATATTTATCACTTGAAAAGCGGCGAAGAATTTGGCTTGCTTGAATAAAAATAAAGTTTTTTTTTTATTTTGTCTTCTGAATTTTTCTAATTGCAGTGGTTAGTGGAAAGGAAAGAACAAAGGAAAAGTTTCACACTTTGTTATGTCTCCATTTTTTTTGTGTGTATGTATTTTTGTGCCTTTTCTATTGTCAACGGTTACCAAATCTCTATGGCAGTTAGGTTAGGATTTTGCTCAGATTCGTTTCAAGGAAAAAAAAAGATATGAAACAGAAACTGGTGGAAGGAAAAAAGCATAGAATGAGATTAAAGTGGTTTATTGTTTTGCGAAAATTATTGTATTAATCTGCCGCCCAGTGTCATCCTCTGTTTTCCCTTCCAAATTCACGAGCAGCGACCACCACCACAATCATCGGTACTATATAGAATTTTGCAGACTATTTTGCTGAAAGAGTGTAATACACAAAGGTATGCGTGTATTTGTGTATTCTAATAAATTAGTCATTTGGGTAACAATAAATTACCGGTTTATTAGTGCTGAAGACACTGTTAGGCAGTCGTTCGGTCAGCCAGCCTCGTAGGCGGATTGCATTTTTTCCAATTTCGGTAGGGCTACTACTCACTGTTAGCATGAACGGACAAAAAAAAAATGCATCTTTTTTTTCAATTTTTCTTGGCAGTTGTGGCAGTGACAGTTTTGAATAGCAACAATTTTGCTAGATTTTGAAAAAGGATATAACTGACTGGTCGAAACACTCTTTTGACTTGTAATAGCTTAACTATCAAATACATCATGAAGAAAGTAAATAAATGGAAAGAGGGGAAGAGAAAACAGGGGTTGAAGGAGTTTTATTTTTTATAACTATTAGTTAAACTTATTTATTAATTATTTTTTTTGAAATATCTTTTTGTTACATTTATCCTTTCACGTCTTTAACACTTTTTTTACTTTTCTTCTTAAAATATGAGAAGTTAAGTTTTTCTTATCCAGAAGTGTAAAATTTAATGAGAAGATCTTTCAATATGAGTACGGAAAAGACGTTTATCGATTTGTTAAGCGACGCAACAGTAATAGAAGAAATTGCGTGATAGTTGCGTGATAATGATAGTTTCTTGGTGACGGTAAAAATACCATTTTCTGCAACTGCTTAGACTTTTTACAGCTAAAGACCAGACAAAAAAAGCCAAAAAAGCTGGAGCCAGACAAAATACGGGTAAATTACTCATGTTACAACACATATAAAGATGTATTAACATAAATATGTACCCTGCAAACACAAGTACAGCATATATGTTGCACAGGAAATCATAGGGTACGAACCGTCTGAGAAACAAGTTGTGTCTAATAATTTTGCTAATTTTTCAATTTTTTTAATTCTAGCTGATGTTTAGATGGTTATTGAATACCAAAAAAAAGTAGAAAACCAAGAAATTACGGGATGGCATCTGAATATTTCTTTCGCCAGTAACTGTTATTTCTTGCGGCTTAGGCAAGCTTTGTAATTAGAAAGTTGAAAATCTGAACATTACGTTTAAGGTCATTGGCAAAAACCTAGAACAACTAAAGATCTAGAGATATTTTGCAAAATTTTCACTTTTTTTTAAAGCTTTCCAAGTTTTTACGATAATTTTTTAACAAATTAAATTTTTTTCGAAAAATTTTTTGTATTTTCTTAGCTATTTTTGTAGTACTGGTTTTTCTTGATGACTTTCGACGACTTTTTATCAAAAATAAGGAAAGAAAAAAAGGCGTGTAAGAGAAAGTCATATTCAATGTATATATATTTTTGAAACAGGACATTTTTTGTTTTTCTGAAATTCCTAAAATTGGTGTACAATAACTAATTTCTTCTCCTTCTCTTCGTCCGTCTTCGTCATTGTGGTTATTGTCATCTTCATCTTCATCTAATTTTCAGTGTAACTTCGGTTGAGTAATGCCTCAAAGGTGGTGCTGCAACATTTCCAGTTAGGATGAAAAAAAAAAAAGAAACAAACGTGTTTTAGCTATGTTTCTTTAAAAAAAATTACATCTTTTTTCTGTGTAACAACTTCTGCGTATTACAACTGTGAATTCCAGTCTTTCAATGCCTTTCTGTTTCGTTACAAACTGTGTCTCCCTAAGTGTTTTTCTTCTTGTTTTGCTTTCCTTTTTCTGTTTTAGCGTTAGTAACTCCTCTACTGTATTCAGTGGAAGTAAATGAAAAAAAAAAAAAAGAGAAAAAAGAAAAAGACAAATGCATTTCTCTTTATTTTTTCCTTTTTTTTCGCTGCATTTTTCTTCCTCGCCCATCTCCTTCCTTTTCCTTCTTCCTCCGTTAGTCATCGCTTAAGCAAGGTATATGTCTGCCTCAATAAAACTGGAATTAACTAATAGCAAAATGAAAAAATTAATCGTTTTCCCGATTTGCATTTCAAGAGGAGTCGAATAAGGTGAAAAAAATAGGAGAAAGAAGTTTAGACCAAACTAGCTGAAATCATATACCTTTTCTAGTTGAAAGCACTTTCATTATAGTAAAACTGTCAAGAAGGAAAATGTTTTCTTTGTATAGCTTTGCTCTACTAATCTGCAGATTGCGAGGAGGCGAGGCTTAAGGGCAAAGGAACTAAACATGTTCACGCAACTGCTACAGCAACACCTAGTTGCTCATAGAAACCATCAAAACAACTTCTTTTGTTCGAAATATGTATTTTAGCCACCGGCATTTATAGTTAGAACTTTGACCGAAAACTAAACACTGAGTTCACTTTTGTATGTCGGTTTAAATGAGTTTTAGATTGCTCCTGATCATAGATCCTGGATAATTTGTAAGAACGCGAGGGAAAGCGTTTCCTAATGAAACTATTCTTGCCCAGTATATGAATGATCGTAATCAGCGTTTGGCATTTATTTTATGATTGGTTTCCTTTGATTGGTTTTCTACCCCAGCAAACTGTCGATTTTTGCTCAAATTGACACATATAAATAGTTTTTCAAAAATCTGATTACCCAACCGTTTAATGGTGTACTATTTGAAGCAGCAACTGATTCAGAGCGAATATTTTGATGGTACAATTAACTAAGTTACCAATTACAGCAAGCAAGAACGTTTCGCCGCATAACACGCTTTTTTTATAACCGTGTTTAAATAACACAACAAAACAGTTGTAACAAACAGGGAGAGTTTTTTTGTAGCTATAATAAAAAAATTTTTTTTTTGTTGGTTGAACTTTTATTTACGTATTTCAACTATTTATTGTTGTTATTGTTTAATGTCGTTAACGCTGTCGTTGTCACCGCCATCGCCGTCTTTATTGTTAAATTAAACCTCTTGATATGGCCAAAGTCTAAATTTTCAGCAAATATCAGATCAATGGTAACATATTATTTGATTTACAACTGAAAACTAGAATTGAAAAAGCCAGTTCCCAAATTAAAACCAATTCAAAGTGTAAAAGAGGTAGGAGAAATAAAACTGATGGTGAAACAACAGCTTTT